GGTCGGGGTGCGTGTGGCCTCGCGTGCGTTTGGTATTTTTCGTCCGGGGCTCTTTCGGCCGCGACGGGCTCCCCTCAGCCCTGCCATGTGGGTCAGGGCCGCCCCGGTCCCGCCCGCCAGTGGCCTTGGGTGGAACTGGCGTGTTGCGATCGGCCGGCCGGGGCCGCGTCGGGTGGGGGTGGCGGGGCCGGGCCGTGGGCGGGGCTGATTGGTGGGTCTCCCGGGGCCCATCAGATCAGTCTCTCTTCTGCATGTACTTGGAGTAGGAGCGCGTGGGCCCGCATGTCAGCCGGACGGCATGCTGGCTCCCTTTTTCATTTCCTTGGAAGTATTTTCCGGCAGTTTTCTAAGTGCGGCGTGCTCAGGGTTCACCAGGTGGGTTGAGCTAAGCATTGCCGTTTTGAGAAGGTTAACCCAGAAATTTGATGGGCGTTGCTTTGCGTCAGTGTCGACTGATCTGCTGTGTCGAGGTGTGCGTGTTAGAGCATCTACACTCGACCTCTCAAACCCGGGTTATACGCCCGGCGGGTCGCCCAATCAGTGTTCGGTCAACACCCGGGCTAATCGGCACCCCCATATCCAGCTCAATATGGGGTGGATATGGGGTGCCCGGGCACACCCACGCACGCCCGCCACGTCGGTCTGACGGCAGGGTCCCACGCGGAAACGTCCGGAAACCCGGCGGTCCGACAGACGCCGCATCCGTCGTCGTGTGGCGCCGCTCCGGCTCGCCGCCCAAGACCAAATCTGGTTATTTAAGTCGGTTGGCGTCCGCAACCCTAACCAATCCACCTTTTCCCCTTCCGCGCCGTCAGTCCGAGCCCATCCACCTCCTTCCTCTCCCGCTCCGGCACTCTGGCCCCGGTTCGATGCTCCGCCCACGCTCCGGCACTCCGCCATGGTTCGAAGCAAGGTCACCTACTACACCATGCTGACGCCGGAGCGCCGCAACGAGATCTAGCAGGAGATCCGGGCGAGGCAAGCCGCGTGCGCCGCCCGCATCGCTGTCGGGCTACCTCTGGACTCGTCGGAGTTGGATAAGTAGGAGGAGCAGCCAGGGAAAGAGGAGGAGGAGGAGGAGGAGGAGGAGATGGCTCCGATGGAGGTGGAGGAGGCAGAGCCGGAGTAGCAGCTGCCAAGCTTCAACATGGAGCAGGCGGAGGCCGAGTTCACCGTCGTCGAGTCAGATGAGATGGCGGAGCAGCAAGCTATCCTGGAGTCCATCCAGGATGAGGCCTATGTAGAGGCCAACTGGGCGTTCCTCCGGGGGGAGCAGGAGGAGTCCGACATGCTCTTCGCCAAACTCGAGGCGGATGAGCCAGAGCTGCAGCTACCACCCATGCTGCCGGAGCCGGGCATGGAGATCGTCGACATCTCCGACGATGAATGGCTAGGTGATCGACGTAGTTCGTAGGTTTATTTTAGTTTGCATGTCTCTGTATGGATTTGAGAATCTAGTATGAGATGTCTGGCTGTAACTGTGGAAATTTGAGGAGTACATGGTCGCCCGCGGACGTTTGAGGGGCCGGATTTGCTAAGTCCGGTTGTAGATGCTCTTACGGTGGTACTCCAGCGTGTGTAAGAGTCAGAGCAGTCCATCGGCTATCCCGGAAAGACAACTCCAGCTCGCATCACCAAATATCCCCTAAATATTTGAATCAGGCAGTTCAAACATTTTTTTTCATTCAATGGCGATCATCTAATTAGTTTGGATCGGGCCGGATGTCATAAATTATACAAACCAGAACCAGATGTAGAGGCAGTTTGCGGTAATCCAGGCATCCGCCACGTCGGACTACGACACGTCCGATCCACCCGAAAGCCACACTCACCGGCGCACTCGGGAGTTCTTGTTAAAAGTAATGGGTTTGGCCATGTACAAGTTGTGGAATTCCTATAATAAATATCAAAGGCCCAATGGCAAGAGGTGGTTATAACCTTTAGTCTCATATATAATCGTTAGTGAGTAGATGTGGGACCTTTCTATATAGTAGGTTCTTCCGACTACAAAATATGGTGAGTATGAGGAGAGAAAGAGAACAACACACGCGCATGCTCACCTTGCCTCGCCCCGCCTCACCAGGCTCGGACCGGGGCGTGGGCGTTGACATGCGCGTGAATGATCCGCCCACATACAAAGCTGCATCCTTTTGTCGTTTTATTTTTTGATGTCTTGGCAGACAAGTTGATTGTTTTCTTGTCCGGTTACTTACGACTTGGAAACCAAGTCAGTTTCAGATTGTAATCGCGACACAAAACCACATGGGTTCTCCTTTATATATGACTTACCGGTCACAACCAAAGACATGCCGAAACAAGCTAGGGTTTTGCCTCATGTCACAACTTGCGACGCCACCTTAGTCTAACACGGTATCTATTTTGCTGTGAGCAAACAGGTTCTTGTCAAATAGGAGGGTGATCATTGTCATGCGCTTGATAGAGTCTTGTGACATCTGAGAAGTACAATGAGTTATGAAATTCACTATTCAAGGCACTTCGTGTGTTTGAAGGATATGGTGATTCGAGCTGGATTTCTTATGTTGGTGTTATTTATGCCACAAGTGGGTATGTATTTACTTATGAAGGTGGTGTGATATCATGAAGGTCTTGTAAGAAAACCATTGTGACAAAGGTCAACCATGGAAGCAAAACTTTCTGCTTTACACATAGCCACTGTTGAGGCTGGGTGGCTGTTTGAGCCCTCGATGGGCTTGCCAGTGGTTGAACAACTAGTGTCGGCTATTCTTATGAATTATGACAATCAAAATAGTTATTATCAAAGTGAACAATTATAAGGATAGTGTGAATTCATCAAGACACGTGAAGAGATGTTTGAAGTCTGTCAGGAAATTGAGAAACTCCAGAGCAATAACTGTTATGTATGTTCAAACAAACAAAAACCTGGCAGATCCTTTTTCAAAGGGACTATCACGAAATGTGATAGATAATGCATCGAGACAGATGAGTATGAAACACATATGTGTTACACCATCGTAGTACCACAACCTTTGCAATTGGAGATTGAGTGAATTAGGACCTGGGAAGAATATCCTATTGGTTAACGAAGGGGAGTAACCGATAACCCACTCTATGTGAAGATGCAAAACTCTCAGAACTGTAAGAGAACTGTCAGGTGATACGTCTCCAACATATCTATAATTTTTTATTGTTCCATGATATTATATTATCTGTTTTGAATGTTTTATATGCATTAATATGCTATTTTATATTATTTTTTGGGACTAACCTATTAACCTATAGCCCAGTGTCAGTTCCTGTTTTTGAGTTTCACGTAAAAGGAATACCAAACAGAGTCCAAACAGAATGAAACCTTTGCGATGATTTTTCTTGGACCAGAAGATAACCAAGAGACTTGGAGATGAAGTCGGAGGAGCCACGTGGCGGCCACAAGGACGGAGGGCGTGCCGACCACCCTTGTGGGCCCCCCGTGCACCTCCTGACCTAATTCTTTTGCCTATATATTCCCAAATACCCCCAAACCACCAGAGGCATCCACGAAAACACTTTTCCACCGCTGCAACCTTCTGTACCCATGAGATCCCATCTAGGGACCTTTTCCGGCACCCTGCCGGAGGGGGATTCGATCACGGAGGGCTTATACATCAACTCAGTTGCCCTTTCGATGAAGCGTGAGTAGTTCACCTCAGACCTAGGGGTCCATAGCTAGTAGCTAGATGGCTTCTTGTCTCTCTTTGATTCTCAATACCATGTTCTCCTCGATGTTCTTGCAGATCTATTCAATGTAATACTTTTTTGCGGTGTGTTTGCCGAGATCCGATGAATTGTGGATTTATGATTAGCTTATCTATGAATATTATCTGAATCTTCTCTGAATTCTTTTATGCATGATTTGATATCTTTGTAATTCTTTTTGAACTATCAATTTGGTTTGGCCAACTAGATTGGTTTTTCTTCCAATGGGAGAAGTGCTTAGCTTTGGGTTTAA